CCGCTTTCGAACCTGGGCGCCTTTCCCGCCGCGCGCGCGCCCACGGCCGGCGGGGACAGCGGCGCCCCGGCCACGCCCCCCCGCCTCCGCCTCATTGGTCGGGGGCCGCCGCGCGCCAGTCAGGGACGCTACGTTTTGGCGCGCGCAGGAGCGGGGGCTGTCTCCGCCCTGGGCTACTTTCTTGCCTTCCCTTCCTTAAGGGGACCTGCACGGCGACGGGTCCCGTTTCTTTGTCCTCTCCTGGGAAACGCCAGTTCAAATTCTCGAGTTTCCAAATGGCCACTGACACTACGGGGAGCTGCAGTTTTTTCTGCAGCTACGGCGAGGCAGTGCATGGGAGAAGCCCCATCCCCAGAGAAAGCTTGGACGTGGCATAGCATCTCCGAACTTCTTTGGACTTCCTGGCCATGCAGCCTGTGTGAGGAGAGCTCTTCTGTGTCCCTCCTCCTGCTCCTCTCGCTCAGAGGACAAGAGAAGAGCCTGTCACACCTGAAGTGGATGTGGTGGAAGCAGCACATCTGCAGCAGGTCGAGGGGCAGAGTGCCGAGGCGGAACTGGTTGAGGAGGGCAGGGGAGGGAGAAGAAAGCAGAGGAGGGAGAGGAGGCGGACCGGCCGGAGCAGAGAGACGGGGCTGTTGGGGGCAGCGGGAGGCCGGGCGGCGGATCGGTGGATGCGGCTCTTTGGGGAGCGGGGCTGGCGGCGCTGGCCGCGGTTCTGCTCGGTGCGCAAGGCTGGAGCCCGGGGACCGTGGTGGCCTCGGCTGAGGTGGCCGTGCAGGTCCCTCGAGGCTGCCGTCCGGTCTGGCAGGTTCTTCACAGAGCTCAGTCTCCCAACTAGCCTTCCGTCCGTCCCTCCCTCTGCTCCAAAAAGTATTCCCGCGAAACACTCACCGCTCTTATTTTTGTGAAGCCCTTCTTTTTCCCTTGCTTTTCTCTCTGTGCTTCCGAGAACTCGTGCAGTCCGTGCTTTGTGTAGTAGTGAAACGGCCTCTTTCATAGGGGCGCTACATTGCTGCACTGTAGAAACTATTAAACGAGTTGTGCATTTCTAAGAAAATCCCCTGAAAGCTCCCAAGACGACCGTGTCAATGAATCCGTGTCTGCCAGGGCGCAGGAATACAGCTCCGTGTCCCCCGAGACGGGGCCCGGAGAGTTAGAGGAAGGTCCAAAGTCCATCTCCCGGCGACGACAGCCGCCCCGCTGGCGCTCGCAGCTCTCGGCACCCTTTAGCAGCGCGCGCGAGGAGTTCGGGGCTGTGACCAGGGAGCTGCCGGTAGAAAGGGATACAATCGCCCATCCGTAGCTTGGCGTGTGAACACTTTACGGTGATCTCACTGCCTTCCCTTGTCTCCACCAATGTGTCCTACTGCCCCTGGGCTCTGCCTGCAGACACTGACGGGGAGATAAAGACAAAAAGCTGTCAGAATTGCTTTTTGCACTGGATGTTGTTTGCCAGAAGAAAGGGCACAGAAAGAGTCAGGACCGTACGGAGAAGAATTTGACGAGACTGTCAAGGTGTGCAGTTGTGGGAGTGTCCATTCGAATTTGCTGGAGAGTTGAGTGCGGGAAAGAGAGGTGGATTTTGGAGTCACTGAAGAATGGGAAGCTGCGCGACTGAGCTAAGCATAAGAGAAAGGAAAGTAGAAAAGGGGAAGGAGGGTCTGCAGGAGGTCTCTGAAGGACAGAGAGTAAAGCAAGGAATCGGGAAGGGCTCGACAAAGAAAAGAGGGGTGAGAGTTCCGAGGGAATACTTTATGGAGCAGAGGGAGGGACGGACGGGAGGCTAGTTGGGAGACTGAGCTCTGTGAAGAACCTGCCAGGCAGGAGGGCAGCCGCGAGGGACCTGCACGGCAACTCCAGCCGCCGCCCCCCGGTCCCCGGGCGCCAGACTTGCGCACCGAGCAGAACCGCGGCCAGCGCCGCCAGTCCCGCTCTCCGCCAGCGCCGAATGCGCCGATCCGCCGCCCGGCCTCTCGCTGCCTCCGATAGCCCCGTCCCTGCTCCGGCCGGGCCGCCTCCTCTCCGCCTCCTCTCCCTCCTCTGTCTTCGTCTCCGTCCACTGCCCAATATTGTCACAATGGCACTAAAATGAGAGAGGATCTCCTTTCTAAACGACTTAGTACATCAGAAGTTTTATCTTAGATAAAAATTATATCCCAATTCTTTTAAGACTTCAGTTATTTTCAGGAGAGAGAATGTAGATAACACATGGAAAAGAATAGAGAGTGTATCGTATGCCCATCTTCAAAAAATTAGCTTATATGCCTCAGGAATCTTCTTTAATAAGAGATTGTTCTGTTAAGAAGAAAGTCAATTAAATATTGTTTAAGCAAATGGGAAGTTCTAAGACACGTGTCTTAGTTTGTCCTTGAACATTTAATTTAGGAGTTAGAGGTTAGATAGATCAAGCAGAGATGCTACGAGGCCTGATTAGCCGAGAAGACCACTCTCCGAACATGACTGCCCCCCCTGAAGACATGGACGCTAGATGGCAGTCTTGCTACACGAATAAAAACAAGGATGCAATATGACCTCAAAATCAAAGACTGATTCTCGACTGCTTGTGAAGTGGGGGGGGCTTTAAAGCGTCACTGTATTTATATTACAAAATATATACTAGATCCTTCATCCATGATGGGTAGAATACCCCATGTATCCCCAGCTGACATATTAAAGAAATGTTCAAGCCAATGGTTCTGGTCATTGGATTAAATTCTTTTTTTTCCCCGTTTGATTCCATGGGGTACACTTCCATGCATGCATCAAACCCGCATCCGCCGATCCACCGCCCGGCCTAACGCTGCCCCCAACAGACCCGTCTCTCTGCTCCGGCCGGTCCGCCTCCTCTCCCTCCTCTGCTTTCTTCTCCCTCCCCAGCCCTCCTCCGGTTCCGCCGCCTCCGCGGTGCAGAGCTCCGACCGCCACCCCCTTGCCACCGCTCTCAGCGGCCCTCCGCATCCAGCCCGCACCCGACGAGAGCCCGAGAGCCGTCGGCGGCCGGCACAGTACCCGGGCTGAGCTGGATGAGGAGAGCAGTGGACGGAGACGAAGACAGAGGAGGGAGAGGAGGCGGAGAGGAGGCGGCCCGGCCGGAGCAGGGACGGGGCTATCGGAGGCAGCGAGAGGCCGGGCGGCGGATCGGCGCATTCGGCGCTGGCGGAGAGCGGGACTGGCGGCGCTGGCCGCGGTTCTGCTCGGTGCGCAAGTCTGGCGCCCGGGGACCGGGGGGCGGCGGCTGGAGTTGCCGTGCAGGTCCCTCGCGGCTGCCGTCCTGCCTGGCAGGTTCTTCACAGAGCTCAGTCTCCCAACTAGCCTTCCGTCCGTCCCTCCCTCTGCTCCATAACGTATTCCCTCGGAACACTCACCGGTCTTTTCTTTGTCGAGCCCTTCCCGTTTCCTTGCTTTACTCTCTGTCCTTCAGAGACCTCCTGCAGTCCGTCCTTCCCCTTTTCTACTTTCCTTTCTCTCTTGCTTAGCTCAGTCGCGCAGCTTCCCATTCTTCAGTGACTCCAAAAATCCACCTCTCTTTCCCGCACTCAACTCTCCAGCAAATTCTAATGGGCACTTCCACAACTGCACACCTTGACAGTCTCGTCAAATTCTTCTCCGTACGGTCCTGACTCTTTCTGTGCCCTTTCTTCTGGGAAACAACATCCAGTGCAAAAAGCAATTCTGACGGCTTTTTGTCTTTATCTCCCCGCCAGTGTCTGCAGGCAGAGCCCAGGGGCAGTAGGACACATTGGTGGAGACAAGGGAAGGCAGTGAGATCACCGTAAAGTGTTCACACGCCAAGCTACGGATGGGCGATTGTATCCCTTTCTACCGGCAGCTCCCTGGTCACAGCCCCGAACTCCTCGCGCGCGCTGCTAAAGGGTGCCGAGAGCTGCGAGCGCCAGCGGGGCGGCTGTCGTCGCCGGGAGATGGACTTTGGACCTTCCTCTAACTCTCCGGGCCCCGTCTCGGGGACACGGAGCTGTATTCCTGCGCCCTGGCAGACACGGATTCATTGACACGGTCGTCTTGGGAGCTTTCAGGGGATTTTCTTAGAAATGCACAACTCGTTTAATAGTTTCTACAGTGCAGCAATGTAGCGCCCCTATGAAAGAGGCAGTTTCACTACTACACAAAGCACGGACTGCACGAGTTCTCTGAAGGACAGAGAGAAACGCAAGGGAAAAAGAAGGGCTTCACAAAAATAAGAGCGGTGAGTGTTTCGCGGGAATGCTTTTTGGAGCAGAGGGAGGGACGGACGGAAGGCTAATTCGGAGACTGAGCTCTGTGAAGAACCTGCCAGGTCGGACGGCAGCCTCGAGGGACGTGCACGGCCATCTCAGCCGCGGCCACCACGGTCCCCGGGCGCCAGCCTTGCGCACCGAGCAGAACCGCGGCCAGCGCCGTCAGCCCGGCTCCCCAAAGAGCCGCATCCGCCGATCCACCGCCCGGCCTAACGCTGCCCCCAACAGCCCCGTCTCTCTGCTCCGGCCGGTCCGCCTCCTCTCCCTCCTCTGCTTTCTTCTCCCTCCCCTGCCCTCCTCAACCGGTTCCGCCTCGGCACTCTGCCCCTCGACCTGCTGCAGATGTGCTGCTTCCACCACATCCACTTCAGGTGTGACAGGCTCTTCTCTTGTCCTCTGAGCGAGAGGAGCAGGAGGAGGGACACAGAAGAGCTCTCCTCACAGAGGCTGCATCGCCAGGAAGTCCAAAGAAGTTCGGAGATGCTATGCCACGTCCAAGCTTTCTCTGGGGATGCTGCTTCTCCCATGCACTGCCTCGCCGTAGCTGCAGGAAAAACTGCAGCTCCCCGTAGTGTCAGTGGCCATTTGGAAACTCGAGAATTTGAACTGGCGTTTCCCAGGAGAGGACAAAGAAACGGGACCCGTCGCCGTGCAGGTCCCCTTAAGGAAGGGAAGGCAAGAAAGTAGCCCAGGGCGGAGACAGCCCCCGCTCCTGCGCGCGCCAAAACGTAGCGTCCCTGACTGGCGCGCGGCGGCCCCCGACCAATGAGGCGGAGGCGGGGGGGCGTGGCCGGGGCGCCGCTGTCCCCGCCGGCCGTGGGCGCGCGCGCGGCGGGAAAGGCGCCCAGGTTCGAAAGCGGCGCGCGGGGCGCGCGCGAGCCCCGGCCCGGGATGGCGGAGGCCTTGGTGAGAGAGTGCGGGGATGGCGGGGGTGTGTCTGTCTGTCGGTCTGTCCGCCTGCCTGTCGGTCTGTCTGTGCGCTGTGGGCAGCCAGAGGTGCGGCCCCCGGCGCGTTCCCGGGGGAGGGCCGGGGTCGTTCTTCCGCCCCACCCTGGGGTCTTCCGCTTCTCCCTGAGGAGCGGGAGGCCGGAGTTGGTGCACCGCGCCCTTCGGGCTCGGGTCCGGGCCCCTTGCACAGACACTTGTGCTCCGAGGGCTTGTCTCTCGGGAGCCCCTTTTCCCTCAGGCTGCCTCTGGAGAGCCGCCTTCCATGGGCGAGTGAGCGCGTACAGAGCCGGACACTTGTCCAGGCACGCCACAATCGTGCTCATCTTGAGTTTTAAAACTCTTCATGTGTAGGACAATGCGAACACACTCATAAATGAACTGTTCAAAGGTCCGTTGTCGGAGATTTTCAGTCTCTTTAGTGCGAAAGGCTGCGTGCCAGTGGATTGTGCTACACTCTGCTGCAAGGGGAAGAGGTTTAAGGCCGAGTGTCAGATTGACTGGAGTGTGCACAGTTTCTGAAGAGGTGGCTTTTGGTCAGTTGTTTTCCCGTGTGACCTAGAGTTTCCTTCTGCTGCTTAAGGCTGATATTGAAAGTTTCCAGTGCAATCAGTCCATATGTGGTGTTGGTTATTTTTGTGACCAGAAGTAATATCCAAAGAGGAATCATAAAGTGCAAAGTACTGTCAGTATAGCAAACTTCTGAAAAACGAGCTGACTTCCGTTGTGTTAGGACTAGATAATCTCCAAGCTGCACATACTTTTTAAATTTACACAAATGAATAAGAGGTCATAGTTGTTTTTCAGCTAAACATTTACATTTTTTTAGATGTTTTCCTATCACATCTGTGAAAAACTGCACTCTGCTTAGCGCTTGAATTTTTCTAGACCTTTCTTCCCATTTGTATCCTTGATGTTCTTTGCCTGTTTCCAGGTCAGTGGCTTTATTTCATTTGTTGGTGTAGAAGGTAACACTGATAATATGTTGCTGTTTGAAGTATTACTGCTCCAGTTGTGGTAGTAGATGACTGGAGTCATGTTTTCTATTTGAATGACTTTGATTATATTTGGGTTTCAAGTGTGTGAGGTGGCACTGGGACTTAACTGAGGCTGTAGTTTTGCCATGGCACAGCGATGTGTTCTCACTGCCTGTCAGTGTGGTCGTGCCTGTGGCAAACAGGTAAGAACCATCACGTGAGCAGTTAACACACAGCAGCGGATGTTTGGTTATGTCCTGGCTTGCTTTGTGGTAGATCATTCCTCTTCCTTACTTTAAAGATTAGTCATTACACCTGAGTAAATGGTAACCAAATCCTTACATTCTCTGTGATTTCTGTCACGTAAGTCTCCTGTAAGACTCTCTGACTTCAAATGCAACAGATGCTTTGATGGTTCTTGTGGAAAGCTGAATTTCTGGCAATTGTTACAGGGGTTGTAGCTGCTCTGGCATTCTAAGGAAAACAGGGCTGCAGTAACTCCCACTCTCCCACTAGTTTACGATGGCTGGAGAATGCTTGATGTTTGCTTACTTGTTTTCCTGTCAAGTGTCATTATGCCTAGTAAGAACTTATTCTTATTTCTTCACAGAATCATTTAAAAAAAGACTACAGAGCAAGATTCTGCCATGGAGGAGGGTAATTTGCATCTGAAGTTTTATTCTTAGATTCTGGAAAACTTATGTGGATTTTTATCCGAGAGCATAATGTCAAAGCTATACGGTGTATCCTATTAATCCGATCATACGATGTTTCCCAAATTTCTTGTATTTCTTAGTGGTGGGAGGAGCAAACAGTGCTGGGGGACAAAGCCCCAAGGTTTTCCTTTGTTTCCTTTGCTGAGGCAGCAAACTATGTTGTTGTTATACCTAAGGTGCTCCTAACTAGGCTGCCTGAGTACGGAAGGAGTCGTCTGTGCAGACATTTTGCCTTTTGAGAAGTAGAGAAATGAAGCCCACACAGAGTTCCAGCGTATTTGGACCTTGCTGGTAAATGCTAGAGATGAGTTGGAGTATTTGCAGTGCTGTAGCATTCTTTAAAGGCACGTCAGAAGCCTGTGAAGTTCTTGTTGCTGGAATCCATTTTTAGACTTGCATTTCACGAGCTTACCAAATCTACCAAATCAGCTGTGTATAATGATCATTATGGGAGTAATACTCCATGTCTTTTCTAGTGTTATTTTGGTTTTGATCAACATTGTCTGGCTAGTGAATCGCTCACTTCTGCCCCAAAAATGTTTATTTCAAGAGAGACTTTCTTCACCCCAAAGCTCTTTTACCTCAGGGAAGTAGTTGTGTGTTTTCTTTTCTGTAGAGAGAATTCTTCATTCTCATCATAATCTGTGGCAGTGAGGCTTTTTTCCCTGGAATTCTTATTTTGACAAGTTTCTTGGCAGATATCTATGTGTGGAAATGATAGGTAAAAGTATCTTGAAGCTGAGACTAGAGGAAATAATAATTTAAAATATTGAGAAGTAAGAACTTTGCTGCTTTATTATTGCTGGGATAAGAACATTTGATATTTTTGATTTAAAATATTTTTTTTTGTCTTCTTTCTAGAAGTAAGATTGATGTACAGCCAGGTCAAAACGTACTGAAACTTATAGAGGATTGTTTTGAAAGTAAGCTCTTATTTGGTGTTTTACTCAATTTGCTGGTAAAAGAAGAAATAATTTCTTCTTTATATTATATTTAGTGGTAAGTAAATAGAAATGAAAATTAGAGATAAAATGGGTAAAAATAAAGTTTTTTTAGGGTCTTGAAAAGCACCCCCCTCCCAGCTGCTTAAAACTGTGTCTTAGCTGTCTTATAAAGGTAATCTTTCCTGAGTAGCTGATTCCTTTCTTGTTTGGATTTATGTGACCTTAATAGCTGTAGCAACTTGTTAAAATAAATGAGACCTGGACAATTCCAAGATCCCCATACTTACAGTGTTTTCTTCATAGGTTGCAGCAGTGATCTGACAATAAACTCTCCAAATACAACCCTTTGCTCAGCTCCTGTTGTCAAAAATAGGAAGAGGACTTCAATGCAGAGCCAAAGCGTAAGTTAGTTATGGCAATGTCACAGTATAGCTTTGGGTACAGTTTCACTGGGGTCCAAATTTAGTTCTGTAGGATTTAGTTCTGTATGAGCATTGAAGAAGCTCCATATGCCACTTGTAACAGTATATAGGCTACAATTTAACCATCTGTAATAGTTGTTGATAATGGTTTTTTTTCTTATTTGTTGTGCTCTAACAGTAAATATTCTGTAATTAGATTTGTTTAATAGCTTATTTTCCAGGTTTTTTTCTAGTGAAAGCTTTTTCAGCTTTTTGTCCAGGACACTTAAATTTTTTATGGTCTCAGGTTGGAGCACGCTGCCTTATTACTGCTGGTGGGTATGGCTGTCTTGGACTCCGTTGGAGTTGGTTTTGGCCACTTTGCTAGATATATGGACACAGTTCTTAGCTAAATGGTGAACAGTAGAGTTGAAAGGTGATGCTTGTACAAAAACTCGTTAACTCCTGATAGGTATCTGTACAATAACTTTATGTATCTTTCTTGAAGAGTGGAAACAAGTTGAAGGCCTTGTTAGTGTGCTGGGGAAATGATGCCAATAATCTAGTTTGTATATTTAATTTTAATGTTTTGATTCTATTTTTTTTAAATAGGATATTCCGTTAATGGCAGGGTTGAGAACAGGCATCCTTTATAGTGATGTTTGTTTACTTAATTTGATGTTAGAATAGCATATAATGTCAAATAATTTCTTGCAAAACCTCAGCCTGTCTTAAGAAAGGTGAATTAAATTGTTTAAAATAATTCATTCTAATGAAAAGAATAGCTTGCCTGGAGACTAGCAGGATGCCTGTTTAAAGCTGCATATAGACTTTTGCTGTACACACTGTTTTCCCTGTTATTTGAAATTTATAGTTACTTCTAGAAAGTCTTACTTGATAGAAAGTTGAAGTGTTTAGTTAAAATTGAACTGTGATTCACATCACAGTGTGATTTAAGGGAAGGAAAGTATATCGTGTTCTGTAGAAATTTGTATTCCTATCAAAATACTGTTGCTTTATCAACTATTTTACTTTGTCTCATTATTCGTTACCAACTATGACAGCCAAAGGCAGGATCAACCAACTCTGTGAAAAGAGCCTGTTATTCTCCAGAATCCTCACCTGCATCACTGCTAAAACCAGTCAGCAGCAGAGGTTGGTCCCACTAGTACTGAGCTAAGGGTTTCTCGGGGGGTTTTTTGTAAGGTTTTGAGTAGAGGAATTAAACCTGTTCTCTATATATGGCAGGACAGTCATGTGAATCACCCTTGAAGCCTGCAATACATGATTATGTAGATGTTTCTAGAAAAACAGAGTCTCCTGTGTCTGAAAGCAAAACAACTACATTAGAAGATGTTGAAGCGCTGTGCCGAAGTCTTGCCATGTTTTTGGACCCCGAGGATGATCACGGGTCTGTTGGATCACCTTTTCCTTTGGAGAAAGGGAAAAGTTCTCCAGTAGTTAAGTAAGTAGAGCTGAACATGGCTGTGGTGTTACATCCCCTGTGTGCCCTCCACCTTAGGGTAAATCAACACAGTGGTTTCCATCGTTTATAAGTTTAGATTGTGAACTCATAAAAAATAATTCCAAGCTTTTTAGAAAATTTCCATATCTGTTTTTAGGAAGGACAGAATTATTTTTTATTAAATATTCTGGTGATAAGTGCAGCACCCAAGTGTAGGAAGCCTGTCAGAATAGACTTGAACTCTTTGCAGAAAAGTTCACCAAAGTATCAGCTTCTTAAGTAGTCCAGACTTTTTCAGTGAATCCTACTGACAGTATTGACCTTAGAAGTTAACACGAATTTGTTAAAGTAGAAATGAACAGTCATCATTCTTCTCACTCTGAATAGACGAGTTTTTTATACGAAATCGAAAAACTTAAGCTGGGATCTCTGTCTCCCCACAGGAAAATTTGAAGCCCAACTGCAATATTGGCCAGTGGTCCTTACCACAGTTCTGCTTTCCTGGAGGGCTGAGCCTGTAGGGTAGATCATAGAGATGGACTGACACTGATCCCATTGATTCCCATTGATGGAGTGAGATTGGGAAGACAGTGTACCTACAGTCTAGGAAACCTGACAATTTCTGAAGCACATTAGGACAAATTAGGAATTTGTCTTACTGAGCAGCCTTTACTTTGCTCAAGAGTCACCATAAGACTCTGTATTGCTTTGGACACATGCTGCTGTGCTGGGAAGTACTACAGCTAGGCGTGTTTCAGCAAATTACCAAGGGGAAACTCATTCCTAAGTGAGACACTGTCAGCAGGAGCATCTGTTCTTCCTCACAATACTTTCTTGTGCACTCACAAGATTTATAGCAATATATCTGAATGCTGTTTTTCATACATAGATTATGTCTTGATGGTTGGAATACACCTACTGCAGCAAAGAACTGTGGAGAAGTTGAAAATTTGGAAGGACCTCAGACTGGGAGAGATGAGCAGGTTGTTCTTGTGCAAGGAACAGAACCTGTTGCTACATCTTCTGTGCAGAAAGAGAAGACTTTCTCTTCAGCTCTCTTAGCAGCTGTAGCAACAGGAACACTTTGACAGAGGTTTGTTTTGAGGCTTAATATGGAACATAATTTGCTATTAAAATAACTCTGGTCTGAATATCGGAACAACATCCTTTTATCTATAAACAAAGTCTGGGAGCATGTTTTGTGATAGTCGACCATTACTTAAAAATGCCACTTGAGAAAGGGTTTGAATGGTTGTTTCAAAATTTTGTGTAGAATTTAACAGTGCTCTTGGTTTTGTCTGCCAGTAAAATGGTGTGTTGAATAATGTCTGTTGAATAGTGTTTCAGATAGACCCTGAGATGTTTTGATAGGTAGCCTAGAGGATTCAGGAAAACCTTATGTGATTTTGAAGTTTACAGTGAGCAAGCAGTCTTTTCTCAGAGCTAGTCTGGATCTGGCTGCTTACGTAGGAAATTGACGGTCCAGTGTCTGTCCAGTTGACTGTCCAGCATCAGCAAGAAGAAGCAGGCCTTGTGCTCTTTTTGGAAGCTTGAAGAGCAATGAATGAATGCGTTCTGAAGAATGTTCTGTACTGTGTTTAGGTGTTCTGGAATCACCACTGGATCTTAAAGATTGTAAGGCAATTTACCCCACCGCCCAAAATGATTTGTCATTGTCACTCCTTTCTGTAGATATTCAGCCTCGATATCACCTCCATCACCTCCTCCTGTGAAAGATCAAGATATGGAAATCGAAAATGAATGTGAATTTTTAATTGATGACTCAGGTGGTGCATCATTTACTTCTTGGATTTCAATACCCAGTAAGAAAAGAAAATCAAAAAAAGATGGCTCTGCAACTCCTGTTTCTAAATCTCAGCCCTCTGAACAGAAGAAGACACAGAGTAAGAAAGGCAAGAACAGGAAAGCACAGGTTGAAGCACTTACTAAACAGAAACTGAATAATCTGGATGCTGGAGCCTTTGACATCGAAAGAACGTTGAAACCGGATCCAATCTCTAACAGTGAAGGAAATGTCCTTAAATCTCAAAGCCAAAAGAGTACTCATACAGGTAAGTTCTTTAACAGCTCCTTAAACGTTTCCTTCCAGGTCATATTACTGGATTATTTTGTGGTGGTTTATTAGGAAATTATAATAAAGTAGATAGGAGACATTAATGGATTCCTTTTTGATGTTTCAGTTCCACAGTTAGATTTGGAAGTGTATGAGGCAGTGAGACAGAGTGTTTTTACTTTTCCCATCCTCTTTACCCTTCCTGTTAGGATGTTGAAAATTAATTTAGTGGTGTTGTCTTTCCTTATGAGCTGGTGTAGAAGGTAGGTACCCACATGGTAGGGTACGTAGGGTAGAAGGTAGGTAGGAAGGAGGTTAAGACACATGCTTCAAACTGAAGGGGATTGGGTTTTAGGAATTATTTGTGAAAAGGTTTGTAGCAGGAAACACTGAAAACTGGATAGTAAGCTAAATGTGACATTTCTGCTCCCTTTTTTTTCTGTTAGGAAATACTGGAAGTACACTAAAAAGGTTTTTTTATACACTCTAGTTTAGAGAAGGCCTTCTTTTAGCCTTCGGGAACAAACCTGGTTTTGTGATACCTTTTGTTTGTATGTTTTCCCATTTTGAATTTTTGGTTTATTTTTAGGCATTCAGATGTCAACATGTATCTGTTTAATGTAAAAAGATATTGATGTCCAAATGTTTTGTGTATTGATAGGAAAGACTAAAAAGGACGCACTTAGGCAAGACTCTCCAAACCAGAAAAAGAACACATCCTGGAAACCAGAAGCTGAAGAACTGATATTGTCATGATCTGGATTAGAAAGAGAAACATCTGATGCAGAAAAATGTAAAACAAGGGTGCTGCCAAGTGAAGATTTGCCTATGCCCTCATCTGGGCATCAACAAGAGCAGACTGTGTCTCCAAAAAAGTCTCTCAAGTCTTCCAAGAATCTGCAGTCAGCTTCAAAAGCTTCTCAGCATTTAGATAAGAGGAAACAAACTGCTAAGCAGAAACTTCCTAAGGTTAAAGTAGCTAAGAAAGCGGCATTAAGTTCAAGGAAGGAGCTTAAAAAATCTGTCCAGAAAAGCAGTAGTAAAAAACCTCAGTTGCAAAGAGAGAAGAGTTCTGACAGTGAACCTAGTGAAGAAGAGCATGAAAGAGAGCCTGTAGATTTGAAAGATGTGCGTACCACACCCTTGCGTCAGAAATTAGAGACTCCCGTGATTCAGAAATTGGCTGTGTCTGAAAAGCCTAGAAATGTGTTGCACACATTGGAGTCACCTGGTGGTGCAAATAACCAATCTCCTGTGAAAGCACTACAGCATCCCATGGACAGTGTGAAGAATTCTGAAAAGAAGCAGTTGCCAGCCAAGTATTCAGGGAAGATACCCGGAAAGATTCCTTGCAGAACCAATAAAGCTGTTTCCTCAAACCCTGAGGACACTGAGTCTCAAACAGATTCTGACAGCTCTTCTGTACAGAACATGGCAAGGAAAAAACAGAAGTTATCAGATGTAAAAATGAAAAATAACAAAAGAAAACGTAACAGGCAACATGGACCACAGTAAGCTTTTTATGTGATTCCTTACGAGCGTGGTATAACTTGGTAGATAATTAAACACACCTTGTTAACTTTTAAGCAGTGATGGCCCAATTGAACTACGAGATAGTTTGAGATTGGTCAAATAGTTAATAGAGAAACCAAGTGGTGTAGTCAACATCCTGTTCTCAAACGTGGGTGCCAAATCTAGTGTCTTTTACATGAGGAAGTTTGTGCTGGTTAAACTGTTCTCGTGAGACTTGTGTAGTAGATACAATCCTACCACCACGGAGTAACTTCACTGTCAGGTTTGTTGTATTTTTAAATGAAATTTGGAAAATACAGCATTTAATTCTTCAGCTATTGTATATATTTTTGTGGATGTAACTTTCTAGTCGTAGGCAATCTAAAGACGGAAGTTTAAGGAGCCTAAAACCAGTTTTTAATAGTTGTTCTTTGCATTGTTTTTTAATTTTTTTTTAATGTCTTTTTATGGTTTTGTTCAGGATATAAAATTATTGCCCTACAGGTTCCTTTCATTAAGTAAAATTGACTCAACCCTAAAATGTACTAAGAATAATTTTTTCTCTTCTAGATATTCCTTTGTGGCTGAGAAGGTTGTGAACTATGAAAGGTAATTTCTTGAGTTGTCTGAAAACCTTGAATTTAATCTCACTTCTGCCCCACTGAGACAGAAGAGTTTGGTAGTACTACCCCATTCTGTGCTCTACTAGTGAAGCACCTAGTAGAAAAGAATTGTAATTCACGCTTGAGGATTTTAAATACTGCATTAATACAGTTAATAAACTAGTAAAATTTTTCTTCCTGTCATAAATGAGGGGTCCTAGTAGGTTTCTTGCCTTAGGGGATTTTTTTCCTTTGAGGTTTGCTTCCACATTAGTGTGTGATTTTGGAACAGAAATACCAGTGCCCCTAGAACTAATAGCAGCTGTACTAATAAAGTTGCCGTTAAGTGGGGTATAGAGCTGTATCTATGATCCAAACTTTTTGCATGTAGATAGGCATGTATCTTCCCCTTCACGGGATGGGAACTTAATGACAAAGCAAACAGGAGTGGCAGTCTGTGAATTTATTGAATTCTTAAGCAGTCATTCTGCAGAAAAATGTGGGGTTTTTAATTATAAGGGAGACTACCGCCGACTTACTTGGACGACTTTGTAGTGTAGGTTTGGTAATTTAGGTAATTTAAATGCATCTTTTGGAGTTTAGGGGGATAACAGGTGAACTTCACTGGCACAGTAAAAGCAGTGAAGCACAGCCACAGATGGAGGAAGAAGGAAGGTGAAGGGTACTGATGCTAAGGCTGCAAGAGAGGTCCTGTTAGAAGTGATTTGGTTGCTAAAGAATCTCTGGTGGTGTCACACATATAAATTGTCATTTTATGGGGGAGATTTCATGACAGACTACTCATTACAAAGACAAACTATTTTACTGTCCATTCCTTATAGTATGCAAAACATTTCTTTAAAGCAGTACCATAATCACAGTATATGGAAAATTGTTTGAAAGGTAATGCTACAGAAGAAAGTATCTTTATTCTGGAAGGGAGAAAAAAAGAAGTTTAAGAAACCTGTTTAGAGAGGAGGTGTGAACACTAATTTTTCTGCCTGGTGACTGAGTAGAGGAGGAGTTGATGAATTTCAGACCTATGATTTCTAACTAGCAGTCATTTGCTTTAGTGTCTAATCACTGTAGACAGATGTTTAAAAGAAAAATAAAACCCAGACCACATGATCTGAAAAAAACTTAACTTTTATATATATGGTAGTGCTGTAATGTTCCTTTGACATTTAACATCTTTAAGCAGGTTTATTTTTTATTCTTTTGCAGTGGGCCTGTTCTAGAACATTGCGATAAATTTGATTCCAGCACTAAGTCTTGTGAACAGTATGATACATCATCAGGTAATGTTTAAAGTTGATATTTTCTTGCATTTTATGTATAAGCTTCTTATAAACTGTAACTGATGGTTCAGTAATTTCTCTTGTATTCAGCTTGTCCAGAACAAATGCGGATTTTATTGGCTGTGGTTACATTTCTGTCCAAGTAGGTGGTATGCCATGCCAGCTTTATGTTGTGTTAGCTTTGGAAGAACAAGCCCTCCAGGGTTTGGCATCAAGCCTACTGGGATAAAGTTATCGCTCCAAAATATTTTGAACACATTTTTCAGGCTCTGTTTGTACCAGTTTGATGTGTTGCCATGTGATGGTACTAAATGCAATCACTTCAGGCCACCCTGGACCAAAGTGTACAGCCCGATGGCCTGTTCACCCAAGAATGTTTTGGTTTGGGGTGTTTTGTTTGCTTGGTTTGGTTTGTGGTGTCTGGTTTTTTTTTTAAAGTTTTGTTTGGTTGGTTTGGATTTTAAGTTTCACAACATGAGTTGTACGTGTTGTCATAATGAACATGAGCCTTGGAGATAAAAAGTCATTTTGTTAGTCTTTTAGAGCCAAAAGTGAATATGCGAATGTTATTAGTTCATGCGGTGCTTTCTTCAGAGACCTAATTTTGTGTGTGTTCTTGTAAGAAGTTTGTTCTAAAGCTAGGTTTGAGTGATATGAAGCTGATTGACCTTGCACTTTGTCATAATTTTCCAATGTGTGTTTTATCAAGAGGGATAGGTCTGAAGAATATTTACTTGAATATATAGTTTTCATGTAATTTTCAAGCTTACTGATTGCATATACTGCTTATCTACATTGGGTTTCATACATGTTTATAGCAAAATGTGTTAAGAGGGAACACTATCATTGGGACTTGTATTACCCTTGGTTACTTTTAGTGGGTATATTGAATAAAAGTCAGGAATAGTAAATGCCTATGGTAGTGGTTTTTTGAATGTGTTTACAGAGACTTTTGATGACTTGAATTACAAAGTGAGAGATCCATTGTCAGACAACATAGCAAGGCATAAAATAGGTAAGATTATTTAAAATATCATAATGTAAGTGTGTAAATACAAATGTATTTCCAACTTGATGTAAAGTTTGCTGAAGGAGACTGGCGTGCAGCTGCACACTGAGCTACCTGCACTGAATGTATTCCTAAACAACTGAGTCAGGACAAACCCACAGTTCAGTGAGAACAGTAAGAGTTTGTATTAGTTTTACGCAGTATAACTGATGGTGCCAATAACCTGCCTTCTGTGGTGGTCTGAGTCTGGATAGGATGGAACAATGCGTGTGCAGTCGATTGCAGTCCCATGCTTGTCTGTTTTATATTGGGTTCTTTTTATGGCCTTCATTATTATTTTATGCACAACACTTTAGTTGTCTACCTTCAAAAACTATTTCATCAAGTTTTTTATATTTACCATTTTTAACATTTAAATATCTTGACTAATTTGCTCTTAGCTCTTAAAGGGCTTTTAGTCTTCCTTCCAAATACTAAAATATATCTTACTGTATTCCTATATGGCAGCTTAGACAACTTGAAAGTTGAGACTATGTAATAAGTACATCTGAAGATAAATATCTGAGAAATCTTGGAAATAGGTGGAGTTTCTGTTGGCAGAAGTGCCATTCTTCTGGACCTCAGAAATGGGACTTGTGAATCTGGAAGGGGAGGAGCTGCGTATGCAGCCTCTTACTCTCCCCTTGCCATAACTAAGGCAGTGCCTTTCCACTGCTGCTAATGAAATCCCTCAGATTTAGGCTGGGTCCTTTGTCGAGAGCTTTGTCTTCACAGTTGTAGCATGTTTTCTGTCCTTGTGCTTGAGCTCCTAAGTCCATGTCTCAGTGATTCACTAAGATACATAGAACTAAGTATAATATAAAGTCAGTGTGGTGATTGTTTAAGAAAAAGGAGAGTGAAATAGTGATGTATGCAAAAGAGGGCTTTTGTCAATATTTGGATCCCATTTTCCTGTCACGATAGCAATATCACCTGACCCCCTCCTTGTGATACAGCAAAACAGCAAAGGATACTTAATATTTTCCATCTCTGAATTTTCCTTTCATGTTTAATATGAATTATGTCATCCTTCAAATTAGTAATGCCTTCCAACACACCTAAGGTTCGTCGAACGAAAAGGATACGGCTGAGACCTCTGGAATATTGGAGAGGCGAGCGCATAAACTATACTATGAACTCTTCAGGTATTAGTTCCAAAATACCTATTTGCTTCCTTCTGATGGGGCAGTAAAGAAAAATCTGTGGGTTGATCTTGTGCCATGAGGACTTTGAGAGGCTTACTTTTGGGTAATTTTTTTTTTTAAGATTATTTATGGTCACTAGCCATTTAGTCACCTTTCCATGTAGTCCTTTTCATTCCTGATATTCCCTTGTCAGCTGAAAATAGCATCAGGAGAGTATGTTAAGTTACTTTGCCTTCACTGTTTAGAGAAGAACAGAACAGTTTCTCTATACTAGTAGGTTTATTACATCAGAGATTGTGTATGATACTGGAAAAAGAGACAATCTGCTGGATCATTCATTGGAGCATTTCTCTTTGTGCGAGGATTGTTTTCCAGAGCAGATACTCTAATATTTTATCCAGTCTCAGTGTTAAATTCCCTAAGTGAACAAATATATCTTGTTCTCTTGGATTTTTTCTGACCAATGCAGCCTAATATTTTGTCTTTTCTTAATTAATTAATTTGCTTGAGAATAGTATTTCTTTGCGTTCCTAAAACTGATATTTTTTCTTAAAAAATTGCTTTCATATCATGGCTTTCTGAAATGCTCTGTGACTGAAATTTGATAAATATTATTTTCAAAATATCTCAAGTTGCCTTGCACTCCAGAAGACTTAATAATGAAAAGCTTTTTGGTTTGTTCTGGCTTTCTAAAGCTGTCTGAAAATTTCAGCATCAAGGAAGTATATTCTCGGTTAAAATGCTTGTTGGTTGTGTAAGTTTTTAAGGTTACTGTGAGTTAGCAAGCTTTGTTTAACTTCCTTTTGTTTCAGGAGGGCTTGTGATTAGTGGATTAGTGCATCCAGAAACACAATCTCGCAGTAAGAATAGACAGAGGAAGGATCGTCACAAGCAGAAAGCCAACAAAACAAGTACGAACACAGACTTTTTCCCTTTGGATACTTAGAAACAAAGTTATCTGTAATCAAATACTCTATTGCTGTAAGATATTCCTCGTGTAACACTTGATTCTCTCTGTGGATGAAAATAATTTTATAACAAAATCTATTAACGTGATGTGGAAAAACCTGTTCTTACTTTATCTGTAGCAATGCTGTATATTCTTGTTATAAAAACGTTAACTTTTCAGAAGAAAGGAAGAAATACAGAACATACCCAGAAGTGTTGTTGTGCCTTTAAAGCAGGGGTAGAAAAAAAATAAACTGTACTTCTGTTTGTGTTCAGATCGTGATGCTAATGTGCAGTCTAGAACTGCGGTTTGAAACTGAAACATTTCTCGGTGAAGTTATAGAGCTAATAAAACAAATACTAACAAGAATGGATAATGCCATATGGTCCTAACACAGTTCTAAAACAAATCGGGGCTGAAATAATAATCCGAGAAATAAGGAAGAAAATGGTCACTGTTGGTAAAAATATCTGATTTTCTAGAGTGTTTCATGTGAATTTTATCCCTTAACTCAAGAAGAAAGTGGTAGGACTAGAGAAGGTTCAGGGAAAGCTCATCAAAAACATGAGAGGACTTCTGTGCAGAAGCAACTACGTAGTGAAGACTCCTCAGCCCTCAGGGGAGTTCTGTGGCGGCCTGAGAAAGACCTATAAAATCACAAGTGGTGTGGAGAAGGGAAATAGGAATAAATTGTTTTATTGGCTTTTTTTTTATATGTTTGTTTTTAAACACAAGAACTAGAAGTTGTGGCAGGAAGATATGGAGAGCTGAGTTCTTTAGCAGAATAAGGTGGCCATTCTCACTATGTGCTCCTTGCCCCATAATATTGTGGACAAAAATATTTGTGTAGATTCCAGACGAGATCTAGATACATTAACAGGAGACTTAACTGTCTAAATATGTATGAGCTCCAGGTTAGAGGTGGGAAGTATTCCATGGAAGTGCCATTGCTCTGTTATGGCATTTCTGGGGATGGAAGGAGTACCTGCTTTTGGCCACTGATGGGAGACAGACTCCTGGTCTAGATCAATCAAGTACAGTTTACGTTGTAATATAAATAATTTGCAGTGCATGTGAACCTGAGCTGGTAGTGACTGTTTATGTTGTATCTTACAAGAGCTATTGGTTGCTTTGGGTGCATTTGAGCTGTCTTCCAGAAGTGATCGATTTCCTCTCTAACAGACATCCATCCTCAGAGATCCTTTGCTCACATCCTTCAGTTTTAGTGAGGCATATATAGGGACTGTCAGCTGAGTAAAATTTCTAGCACGAATTCTCAAATCCTATTGATACAATAAAAATTCTGTTGTTATAGCTATAGAGTTACACCTGATGCTGCTTCTCTTTATCCAGAGATGGTTATGTTGGAACAGAGCTGTTCAAACACAGCAACTTTCTTCCTACCTCTGACTGTCTTGGTGTAAGGGTATTTAAGCAGCCATGAGTGCCTACAAAGCGCAACAGCTTGCCTTTAACATGCTGCTTCTGGTTGCATTTAAAGAAATTTCCTGTGCGTTGTAGAGCTAAAATTGTCTGCTTATGAGAATTCTGCAAGAGAGCTTTGGGATATTCTGTTGTGAACATTTTCTAGCATCTATTTTCTGTTTGAAAAGCGTAGAGTTGTCATTGATTCTTAGGATATTTCCTGCTCTGGAAAAATCCTTTTTATTATATCCTTTTTATTATAGAAATAGTTCTCAGATTTACAACATACAGTGAGATTCCTGTAATGGTATTTCTTGAGAAAAGGAAAATTGGACATGCGCTTAGTCTTTAGAATGCTTTATCTCTTAAATCTCCCTTATCAGCAATAGGTAAAAGCAAAAAAACTTAGTCTTCATCCTGTATTTTATATCCTCTCAGCATCTGTTGCTAGAAAAGCACTTCTCTGAAAATACAGATACTTCTGAATAAATACTGTTGTTAATAGCACAGGATAAATAGTTGGCATTCCCCTGGCAAGTTTCTTAGGATTTAGAGAGCCTTCATCTATTACACACAGAAATGATTTCAATGAAAATTACATTTTCAAGGAATTGTTACGGATGGTTTCCTTTTATTTAAATGAAGTGTATTCAGTCTGTTTAGTTCACTTATTAAAACAAGTTTAAGTACTTAACATGTGACATTAGAATTGTGGAAAAGTTGTAGTTCAATAAGTTTTTAAAATGCATAGTGATAATTTCTCTGATTTTGTTTTGGTTTCTTTGTTTCCTCAGATAGAAGAGAGATACCTGCAAGTTTGGATCACAACCTAGCTGATACTTCTAAGCCAACCGTTGTACTGGACCCAGAAACAAATGAGGAGGTAGTTCTAGGTGAGTTGAAGGATGTGGCCAAGGGACTTTGTGAATTATATAAGCTGTGTTTAGAATGATAAGAAAAAAATTGTTCATGCCACATTGGGCATAAAAAGGTAAACTATTGAAATAGTCATTGCTCTTCTGGAGAAAGTTCTGAGGAAAACAAAAAGTGTCTTGATTTTTCAGCTAAATATTGAATATAGCTTTTGAAGGTGTTGCACTAAAACAATATGTAATGCATTGAGCAAATAACAAGACTAATTATATGAGAGCATTAATGCTAATCTCCTGGACTTTTCTGTAGAATGTGTTAACACTGAAAGCAGTCACGCTTGCTCCTTCAAAGACGAAGCGGTAGAAATATACAAAAATCTGAATACATCTGTTTTTGCAACTGGCAAATTGATTTTGAAACCACTTAAGGAAAAGGGACACCAGTTTGTCCACATGGATACAATAGTAAGTGTGCTTTTTTCTTATTTTTATAAAACTGACTGTGTAAACAGGAGATCTTAGTGTGGTTGGAAGTAACATATGAAGCTGACGGGTTTTCCAGGGGCTTTCCCTCCCTGAATGCACATAAATGTTAATGAATCATTTGCTAGAGGTACTTTGCATGCACATTGCCCTCTGTGTCATACTAAATCTTTATGTCTATGTGCACTTACTGTCTAGATCTTGCAGGCAAGACAGAAGTATCAAATAAATAAGACGACCCCATCCCCCTTTTGAGGTGCGCATCTTATTTTTCAGCAGTGTGGGGGAAAAAAGGGATTGCAGTTCTGCCAGTTTATTTTGTTTTTTATCTTTGTTACAACATGTGTGCAAATGTTTTCTGGGATAACTTTCTGAAATGTTTGCAAAGGAAGCATTGCTAATCTTAGAATCCTTTGGCTTTCATTAAGGCTTTCCATATTATCCGTGGCAAAATTATTGTTACATTACATAAGACATCATATTATCTGAGTACAGGAGACTCCTTCTATGTTCCTCCAGGTGAGTACATGTGTCTAAAACCAATTTGTTGGAGGTGGTTGAGACTGAATTAGCGTGCTGGGAATCAAAACCAAACTTAGTGACTGAAAGAGAGATGGAATAGAGAGTGGGAAGGTATAGGGCCATCACTTAGGCACCATGCCATACCCTGATTTTGTACTGGCCGGCTAGTCCAGGCATTCACCTGCTCTTACATCTTCATTCCTCTTGCCAGTGGGAATGCAGTTTGGCACCAGCTGGTTTTGGCACAGAGGTCTAGCATGGCAGCACATGCCCACTGCTGCAGATGTGGGTGTGGATGTAAGTGCCCTCTCACACCCTGTTGCTGCTTGACTATTCTGGTAAATGCCAGGACAAAGTAATCTTCCTGGGCTTTGATGTTTCTGCGGTGTCTAAGAGGGAGTCTAGACTGAATGAGCTGCAAAGCTTGGGTGGCCCCTCAGGATCAGCTTCATACACTTCTCTTGGAGATGGAGCTGAGACCTGCCAAGCTCATTTGATATATCCTTCCATGTGGAACTGCTCTGTCTACATAGTTCAGAACCTTTTATCTCTGTTCTGTCTTACCCACTGCCATGGGTGGGAGTGTGTATTTCTAAAGCATGTTAGAGTATTTGTGTACACACTTGGCATCCTCACTGTTGTGGTAGCTGTGGAGAGGTCAAGAGGTACAGAAGAGATCAGGAGACAGAAGCTCGTCTGTGGCGAAAGAGAGCTTACCTGTATCCAGTGCAACTGGATACAGGTGGTCCTGCTTGAGCAAAGTGTTGGACCAAATGCCTTCCAGAGCTTCTCTCCAATCTCAGCCATCCTGTGAAGTCGGAGACTCCCATGCTGTGGAAGCTGCTCTTCTAGAAGTATAGTTCATGCTTGTGTTGGGAAGACCCTGATGCTTTACACCTCAACTGGAAAGCAGCCTTTTCCATGTTGCACAGCTGGCCATCCGTGTGGGGTGTGCCAGAGCGCTTGGCTGCTGGTGAATGGCCACTGCTATCCATTTCTTCACAGTAAAGGACACTATTATGGCACAGATAGGCCTATTTTTAACTGTGTTAATTTGAACGAATTTCTGTTCTTTTTATAATTTAGACCAAAAGCAAGAAATACATTGTTGGATACCTCTTCCCCATAACTTTACCTGCAAATTGAAGGTCATCTAATGCAAAGGAATTCTGAAGAACACTGAAGGTTTTCATCTGACACTCCAGTTTTAGGGGCAGGTTGTTTCATTGATCTTAAAGATCTTTCTTCTGTGTAAATAGTAAATACATAGCTTGTTGCAAATTATTTTTTCCTTTGTATCAATAAATATTAAGTAATGCAAATCAGTTTTGATCTCTTTGATTTTAAATAACTTCAGAATTGATTTTCTAGCTTTCCATGTGGTTTTGAAAATGCAGGTAGTTGTATGAGTTTGACTTGTAAATATTTATAGCTAATGTAAGTTATCTTGAGTGGCTTCAAAGATGCCACCAACTGAAATTTTTCATCTGTTTCTTTGGAGTTGTTTAAACTTCATGGTATTAAACAAACCTAAGATATCTTTGCAGTTTCATGGAATCAAAGGGGGGAAAAAAAGAATTAAACCCAATGACCAGAAACCATTGGATCGAACATTTCTTTAATATGTCAGCTGGGGATACATGGGGTACTCTGCCATGCATGGATCAAAGATCTAGTATAAATTTCGGAATATAAATACAGTGACGCTTGAAAGACCCCGCCCCCTTCAACAGCAGTGAAGAATTAGGTGATGATTTTGAGGTCAAATAGCATCTTGGGTTTTATTCGTGGAGCAAGAATGCCATCTAGCGTCCATTTCTTCGGGGGGGCAGTCATGTTCGGAGAGTGGTCTTCGCGCTAATCACGCCTCGTAGCATCTCTGCACAGAAAGCTCTCACTGTTCAAGGAGGCCCCACGTTGACAAACCAACTGCACCACAAAGCCAGAGCTTCCAGGCTTTCTTTCCTGCCGATAAGGGCTGTTGTTTCCTGTTTTCAGCCCTGCCTCCCAACTGAAAGACCGATTCCCAGAATTGCATAAAAAGACTCCTCCCACAGCTCAGATGCCACCAGAGAAATGTTTTGCTCCCCATGGAGTCTCCAGGCTGACAAACCGACTGCACCACAAAAACAAAGTTTGCTGGCTTTCTTTCCTGGTGATAATTGCTGTCATTTCCTGTTTTCAGACCTACCTCCCAACTGCCAGACCGACTCCCAAAATTGCATATAAACAAAGATTCCTCCCACACCAAAGGTGATAGCACAGAAATCTCTTGCTGCTCATGGACTCCCTAGGCTGACAAACCAACTCCACCACAAAGCCGAAGCTTGCTGCTTTTCTTTCCTGGCGATAAGGGCACTTTATTTCCTCTTTTCAGACCCACCTCCCAACTAACAGCCCGACTCCCAAAATTTCATACAAATAAAGATTCCTCCCACACCAAAGATGCCTGGAAAGAAAGATCTTGCTGCTCACAGACACTCCAGGCTGACACACCGACTGCACCACAAAGCCAAAGCTTCCAGATTTCTCTTTTGCTGGCGTGGGGAGACTCCTGCATTTTCGTCCAGGGCACACACTTTTGACAATTTTTGAGGAGCACGAGAGGCATAATATCCCTCCGGGCTCAGCACCCCGGGTCAGCCTCTCTGCAACCTCCGTGAGGAGATCTCTTCTGTGTCGCTCCTCCTGTTCCTTTTGCTCAGAGGACCAGGGAACAGCCTGTCACATCTGAACTGGATGTGTTGGAAGCAGCACATCTGCAGCAGGTTGAAGGGCACTCAGAGGCGGGACTTCATGGTATTAAAAAAACCCTAAGATATCTTTGGAATTTCATGGAATCAAAGGGGGGAAAAAAAGAATTAGAATCATAGAATCATAGAATCAATTGGGTTGGAAGAGACCTCCGAGATCATCGAGTCCAACCCATGGTCCAAATCCAGTCCATTTACTAGATCATGGCACTCAGTGCCACGTCCAATCTCTGTTTAAAATCTCCTGGGATGGTGAATCCACCACCTCTCTGGGCAGCCCATTCCAACGCCTGATTACTCTCTCTGTAAAGAATTTTCTCCTGATATCCAACTTAAATTTCCCCTGGCGGAGCTTAAGCCCGTGCCCCCTTGTCCTATTGCTGAGTGCCCGAGAGAAGAGACCAACCCCCACCTGGCTGGAACTTCCCTTCAGGGAGTTATAGACGGTGATGAGGTCACCTCTGAGCCTCCTCTTCTCCAGGCTAAACAACCCCAGCTCCCTCAGCCTCTCCCCATAGGACTTATGCTCCAGTCCCTTCACCAGCCTCGTTGCTCTTCTCTGGACCCGCTCCAGCCCCTCAATATCCTTTCTGAACTGAGGGGCCCAGAACTGAACACAATACTCAAGGTGTGGCCTCACCAACGCAGAGTACAGGGGAAGGATCACTTCCCTGCTCCTGCTGGCCACGCTATTTTTGATACAGGACAAGATCCCATTGACCTTCTTGGCCACCTGGGCACACTGTTGGCTCATGTTGAGCTTCCTGTCAATTAGTACCCCCAGGTCCCTTTCTGCCTGGCTGCTTTCCAGCCACTCTGTGCCCAGCCTGTAGCGCTGCAGGGGGTTGTTGTGGCCAAAGTGCAGGACCCGGCACTTGGTTTTATTGAACTTCATCCCATTGGAATCAGTCCATCTCTCAAGTCTATCCAGATCCCTCTGGTTTTCAGATACACGAGTCCTTCCCTTGCACACACCCAGACAGACAGTTCATGGCAGCAGGGGCAGTATCTCCTGGGGCTCCTGCTGGTGCGCCCAGAGCCTGGATACAACTCAGCCCTTGTGGGGGCCACTTGCTCTGCCACTATCTGAGAAGCCCCATGGCCCAAGGGATGGGCACGGGGAGCTCTGTCCATGAAAGCACATCCCAGAGCTGCATCCAGGGGCTTTGCCAGGGTTTAGTACCGTAAATTCAAAGTGACACCGAGACACTCTTTGTCCCACAGAACCTCAAGGCTCCCCCATGAGGCTGATGGCAATTGTACTTGCTCAGGGTCATCTCCCCACACCACCACCAGGTGTGTGCTCGAGACTTGTCTCTTCAGTGCAAAGAGAGTCACCCTCTCTAGTCCTTCTGTGTCTCTCCAGGGAAGGCTAAAGAACTTCTGAGGGCTGGATGAGAAGCCAATGCAGATGGGAATGGACAACGCCCCGCCCTGGTGGTCCTTCGTGTCCTTCTACTGAGTTGAGAGCGATGGGAAAGAGAATGAACCTTTTGGCTGTGCCTCAGAGTGCCCATCAACCTACTGCAGATGTGTTGCTTCCAGCACAACCAGTTCAGATCTGACAGGCTGTTCCCTGGTCCTCTGAGTAAGGGGAGCAGGAGGAGGGACACAGAAGAGCTCTCCTCACGGAGGTTGCATCTCCATGAAGTTCAAAGCAGGTGGGAGAAGCTCTTGCTCCCCGTGGAGTCTCCAGGTTGACAAACTAACTGCACCACAAAGCCAAAGCTTCAAGGTTTTCTTTCCTGCTGATAAGGGCTGTCATTTCCTCTTTCCAGCGCTGCATCGAAATTGCCAGCCCGACCCCCAAAATTGCATCGGACAAGATTTCCTCCGACACTAAAGATGCCATCCTGGAAACTCTTGCTGCCCGTGGAGTCTTAAGGCTGACAAACCAACTGCACCAAAAAGCTAAAGCTTGTTGACTTTCTTTCCTGTCCATAAGGGCTGTCATTTCCTATTTTCAGATTGGTCTCCCAACTGCCAGACCGACTCGCAAAATTGCATATAAACAAAGATTCCTCCCAAACCAAAGATGCCAGCACAGAGAGCTCTTGCTCCCCAGGGAGTCTCCAGGCTGACAAACCAACTGCACCACAAAGCCAAAGCTTCCAGGCTTTCTTTCCTGTCCATAAGGGCTGTCATTTCCTGTTTTAAGCGCTGCATCGAAATTCTCAGCCCGACTCCCAAAACTGCATACGGACAAAGATTCTTCCCACACCAAAGATGCCAGCACAGAAAGGTCTTGCTCCCCGTGGAGTGTCCAGCTTGACAAACCAAGTGCACCAAAAAGCCAAAGCTTCAAGGCTTTCTTTCCTGTCCATAAGGGCTGACATTCCCTGTTTTCAGACCTGCCTCCCAACTGCCAGACCGACTCCCAAAATTGCATACAAAGATTCCTCCCACACCTACGGTGCCAGCACAAAAAGTTCTTGCTCCCCATGGAGTGCCCGGAAGGACACACAAACTCCAACACAAAACCAAAGCTTCAAGGTTTTCTTTCCTGCTGATAAGGGCTGTCATTTCCTGTTTCCAGCACTGCATCGAAATTGCCAGCCCGACCCCCAAAATTGCATCGGACAAGATTTCCTCCGACACTAAAGATGCCATCCTGGAAACTCTTGCTGCCCGTGGAGTCTTAAGGCTGACAAACCAACTGCACCAAAAAGCTAAAGCTTGTTGACTTTCTTTCCTGTCCATAAGGGCTGTCATTTCCTGTTTTCAGCTTGGTCTCCCAACTGCCAGACCGACTCGCAAAATTGCATATAAACAGAGATTCCTCCCAAACCATAGATGCCAGCACAGAAAGGTCTTGCTCCCCAGGGAGTCTCCAGGCTGACAAACCAACTGCACCACAAAGCCAAAGCTTCCAGGCTTTCTTTCCTGGCGGTAAGGGCTGTCATTTCCTGTTTTCAGCGCTGCGTCGAAATTCTCAGCCCGACTCCAAAAATTGCATTCGGACGAAGATTCTTCCCACACCAAAGATGCCAGCACAGAAAGGTCTTGCTCCCCGTGGAGTGTCCAGGCTGACAAACCAAGTGCAGCAAAAAGCCAAAGCTTCCAGACTTTCTTTCCTGTCCATAAGGGTTGTCATTTCCTGTTTTCCGAGTTGCCTCCCAACCGTCAGACCAACTCCCAAAATTGCATACAAACAAAGATTCCTCCCACACCAAAGATGCCAGCACAGGAAGTTCTTGCTCCCCATGGAGTGCCCGGAAGGACACACCAGTTCCAACTCAAAGCCAAAGCTTCCAGGCTTTCTTTCCTGCTGAAAAGTGCTGTCATTTCCTGTTTCCAGCGATGCATCGAAATTCTCAGCCTGATTCCAAAAATTGCATACGGACGAAGATTCTTCCCACACCAAAGATGCCAGCACAGAAAGCTCTAGCTCCCCGTGGAGTGTCCAGGCTGACAAACCAAGTGCACCAAAAAGCCAAAGCTTTCAGGCTTTCTTTCCTGTCCATAAGGGCTGTCATTTCCTGTTTTCAGACCTGCCTCCCAACTGCCAGACCGACTCCCAAAATTGCATACAAACAAAGACTCCTCCCACACCTACGGTGCCTGCACAGAAA